CTTTGGTGGCCCAGTGGCTTTAGGAGGAGTACGGACAAGGCATCATTGTTGCTTTTCACATGTCATAGGAGAAAACATCAAACGGTACGTCAGGATGGAATATTATGTAGCCTTATAAAGGAGAGAAATTCTGAGCCATGCCACCACAGGGAGGAACCTTGAGGACATTGTGCCATGTGAAAGAAGCCAGTCACATAAAGATAAATACTGTATGGTCCCACTTACGTGAGGTCCCTAGAGTTTGACTGCTCTGAATATGCAGAGACGGAAAGTAGAAGGATGGTTGCCGGGGGCAGGGGGAAGCGGGGAGTTGTTGTGTAACGGATTCAGAGTTTCAGTTTTGCAAGATGCAAAGAGTTCTGGAGGTGGATGGTGGTGATGGTTGCACGACAAGATGAATGTTCTTAATACAACTAAACTGTACACTTAAGCTGGTTAAGGTGGCAAATTTTATGTGTATTTTGCCGTTTGAAATTTGAAAAATAGAAGGGTACATCAGCTACCGCAAATATTGTCGCATAGGGTAATGCAAAGGTGGTACTTAAACTGAACATATATAGGAAATAACTGTACAGATGATACACTAGTGGAAGAAGTTGGGGAAATACTGTAGTATATTCTGAGCGCAGATTGAAGGTGCCTCAATGCTTAGCTTGCCCGATTCCACAGGCCTCCATCCACTGCCTCTCACACACACTTCGCTCCACAAATGGCCCGCCCACTGCCTCCAGGAGGGCTGCATCCGGTGCCCTCTGGGGTCTGGGCATACCTGGCAGCATCAGGGGTTTGAAATCCTGACATTCACGAAACTCTGTGCTGACCTTTGCTTTAGCGCCGTCGGCCTCGCCATCAGCCATGAACACCTCTGGCAGCGTATTAGCATCCTGTATCAGGGAAGGGCTATCGGGGTGGGCCGGGGGGACCCAGAGGAGGGCAGTTGGCTCTGTGATGGGCTCCTTCCAAGTGAAACCGAGCAGGTCCCAAACGCTCCTTGCCCTGCCACTCGCTGCCTGCAGACAGGCTGGGCTGTGACTGGACTTCTGGGCACCCGAGGACCTAAGAGCTATCCCCCTTCTTCCTGGGTGTCTTCATGCCCAGAGCTACATGCGTATCGGACACACGCAGCAGTGTGGTGATCCTCTGGGAGCCAGTTCATAACTGTGATGCCAGCTGGGAGACTGTAGACAGGTTCCCTTCTGTGGAGCGTCTCCCAAACCATGCTCCGCAGAAAATTCGTGGGTATGAGGCACAGAGAGATTTCCGAGTTCAAATCAGCTTGGGTCTTTATACTGCTGTCCTCAGTGCAACATGTCTTAAGCTTCTGATGCTCACGATGGCAATAATAATACTATTAAACAGCAGTTAACCTTTATCAAGGGCTCACGGTGGGCTGGGTGCTACCGCACGGGTCTTACGTGCATTATTTTATTTAATACTCCCAACACCTGAGGCTTATTGAGATGAAATAACCTGCCTGAAGTCTGGGCTCTCAGGGAGAGACCGTGGGGAGAAGATGAAGAGGAAGAGAATTAACTACCAATATTCATGCTTGGCTTTCAGCAGCGCTTCCTAAACTTTAAAGGGCGCACACGTGCCCTGGGAGTCTTGTTAAAAGGCAAATCTTAACTCAGTATATCTTGGGTGGAGCCTGAGGTAGGGCACGTCTAATAGCAGTGGGCTAACGCTGCTGGTCCCAAGACCAGGCTCTGAACAAGGAGGCAGTGGAACACGTGTGTTTTCTCTTGTACCTGGGATGGAATTCATTCACTCATTCATTCATCCATTCATTCATCCATTCATTCATTTGTAGACGCCATCTAGTAGCAAAGAACACGAGCTTTGCATTTGGAACCAGCTTCCAATCCTAGTTCTGCACTGTTCACTAAGGGGTGTTTCCTCTGAGTCTCAGTTGCCCATCTGTAAAATGGGAATGAAACTCGCCTTTTAGAGACTCTTTGTGATTATTCAATGCAATAAATTGTAGCAAAAGTCCGCCCGGGGGCCTAGGGCGTGGTGGACATTTCCTAATGGTGGTGCTTCGGGAGCTCATTTTCCTATGCATGTATTTCCTTCTAACCGAGGTTCCCACATGGTTCCAATAAGTTTATTGACATTAAAATAAATGTATTTATTAAAACAAATTATTTACTATAATATTTATTTACTTACATATTCCCATAAAGATGTCCCAGCGGCCCCAAAGGCCGCAGTGATGGGTCCCAGAGGCCCCACCACGAATCGGAGGAACTGGCATAGACGTGTCTTCTGATCATTTCCACAAAAGGTGGAAGGAAATTGTGGAGGAGACAGACACAAGCGATGAGCTGTGGAATTCATTTGGCAAATGACTCCACCAGAAAGGAGTGAGAAATGCGTGTGAGGGGGAGAGAGTGGGAGAGAGCGCGGAACTGGGTAAAATGACAACAGATCGCAAGCTGTTAATTATTCAGAGGGAACTAAATATTATGTAGGCAATTACCAACAGGCGTCGGAAAGCCCCACAGGGAAACCTGGTCCTCAGCCGATCTGTCTCCCCCTGCAGAAGGGCTGGGGGACAGGTTTTAGCTCGAGGGGCAGGCTCTTCACCCAGGGAGGGGGAGCCAGGGTCCCCTCCGTGTCCAGCCCAGCCAGGACCCAGCGCTGTGCTTTGAAAATCGCTTTACCCACAGGCTCTGGGCCTGGAATCCGCAGCCCCCTCCCTGTCTGCGCTCCCTCCCCTAAGATGTCATCTTTTGAGACGATTTCATGTGGAAGCATCGCTAAGTAAATTCGCTAAATGCCTATTCATCCCCGTCAGATGGGGACGCAGTGAAGCGGTAAATGTGACAATGGCCCCAGCTCGGGGCCCTGAAAAGCGCTTTCTGGGGCTGCTAAATGGAGCCTCAGCCGCTGACCCTGGGAGGCCTGAGGCTTCGTGAGAGGGGGCCCAGGAGCCCGGCCCCTTCAATCCTGCCACTGAGGCCGCTCAGAGGCCCCTCTTTATTATTCCTGCTGCCAGGGACCCATTCAGAGGTTAACTTGTCCCGGTATTCATCAGGAGGACAATAATGAACTGTCGCAGAGAGTAGAGAGGGGGTTGGTAAACAGGAACTGCTAAGACGCGGAGATGGAACGGGCCTCTATGGTTTGGAAAGAGAGATTGCTTTCATTTCCTTTGCAGGCTGGTTTAGTTTCCACCTCTCCAGCAACTTCAAGAGGCCCTCTGCCCACAGCAACCCGTAACTGGGAGGGAAGCACGCGTGGGCTTTACGTCGCCTGTTTGCGGAGATGCTCCACGTGTGCATGGACACGTGGACTTGGCCTTTTGCCTGTGTCCCTGGGATTCGCCTCTGCGCATCCGCAGGACTAAGCTTTCTGCGTTTGTGTCTGGGCGGGTTTACCTTGCTGTAGGCACACGGGGTTTTTCTGGCATCTGCAGCCACTAGAACGGCAGGTTTTGAAGTGGTGTTGATTTCTGTAAACGAGTACGGGATGTCGGCAGTGCTCGTTTCCACTGCAGCCTCTGTTAACTTCTCCGTCCCCCTCCGCTGAAATTATGAGTTGGTCAACAATAGTTGTCCAACCAGAGAGCAGGGGCTTGGAGTGGCACGACTGCAGGTGATGCAGGGAACTGAAGGAGGGGGTGAGGGGTGAGGGCGGCCCTGACCGGGTGCTGGGAGGCCAAGAGCAGAGCAGCTCGCATTTATTGTGCACCTACTGTATGCTCTTTAAGTCCACCCAGTTATCCATCAGTATGTATACCTACTGTGTGAAGGGCAGCCAGGTGAAGGCCGCCACTCAGGTTGAATGACTTACCGTAGGACACACAGCTGGGTCAGAAGTGGAGCTGGGATCTCTCCCCAGCCCTTTCTGCTTCTAGAGCACAGGCATCGCTTTCTTAGGCACCCACCTGCCCCCCAGAGTCTAGCCTCCTTTCTCTTCCCAGAGATGCGCCTTCACCGTTTCTCCCAATTTGAAACAATGGTTAACCCTTTCCTTCTAAGTAAAAATCCCTGAGCGGAGAAGCCAGATGATAAAGGAGCTGTCACTTCAGCACCGTTTACCTGTTTGGGTTTATTCAGCGTAAGAGGCAACCGCGTTTCTGGCAGATGGAGACCCCGTGTGACTGCCTTTTTAAGTACTGTCACAGCTGTATGCACAAGCTGATTAGCTGTGACTACACCGCTAGTGCTGAGATTGATGGCGATAAATCTGGGATAACAATGCCGGGAACAATGTCACCCGTTTGCATCACACTTCATATTTCTTAAAGCTCTCTCAGTCAGCCTGGGGGTTATGGATTCATTCATTCATTGACTCATTCATTCCTCAAAACACATTTGAAGGAGTCAGTTTAAACTCATCTCACCTTGAGTCATCCATTCATCCAACAAACATTAATGTACCTCTTACCATGTGCCAATGATGAGTGAGTTGCATTAGGTTCTGTCCTCACAGAGCTTACGTCCTAATGTAAGCAAATATAGCTCTTTCAGATGGTGAGGAGCTCATGTTGTGAATATAGTGATGTGATGGGGGTGGGGGGAGGCAGGTGCTACTTTAGGTTGGGCAGCAAAAAAAAAAAAAAGCCTCTCTGAAGAGGTGACATTTGAAAGGAGACCTGGATGACAAGAGCAGACATGGAAAGATATGGGGTAGAATTTCCCAGGCACGGCAAGTGCAAAGGCCCTGAGGTTACTCTGTATCTGGCATTGAAGTATTCACTGATGCCTTACGGTTTGCCAAGCCCAGTGTTGGGCACTGGAGATTCCAAAACAAATAAGGTACTAGGCTTATTCTCAAGGAGTTCACAGCATATGGAGTATGTAAGAGACAAACAGTCCATTTTAGCATACTGTGGTAAGCTCAGTGATGGCGACATATGAAAGAAGATGCCTTACCTACCTGCATGGTGTGAAAGAAGGAGGGGACCTGGTTTCTGTGACAAAGAAAGGAGCCAGGACACAAAGTCTCCATGATTTCTGGAGGACCCTGACTTTCCTCTCGGTTTGCTTCCACAGGACAAATGACCAGCTGGTGGCATTTCTCTCCCGATACCGAGATATGAATTTCTTGAAGTCACACGGCCGGGACAATGCCAGGTAGTGTATCCTCCCCCTACCCTTGTGCAAAAGGGAAATGGAAATCTGAGTGATCATTTGGGGGCTTCCTTCTAGGCTGGTTTGATGCAGCCAGAGAAAAGTTGAGGATGGGAGAGAGCCATGGCGTGGATGGGCCTTGGCCCTTTCTTTGTAGCATCTGAAATGGTGTCTCCTGCCAGCCAGGGACAGAGATAACAGTGAATGTGTCTCATCATGTCCTAGTCCTTTACACCTTTTCCCCCAAGCCCTTTCATGAGTCCATTATCACATTATGGCTGTCCTTCAAGGAAACTAGGGTAGTCATTTTAATACCCAATTTATTGGTAGGAAGACTGAGGCCCATAGTTCAAGTAAATGATGTCCCCAGATCATTCATTCGGTCAGCCAGTCATTCAACAAATACTCACTTAGTGCCAAGCATGTGCCAGGCACCCTTCTAGAGGAGAACAAGACAAAATCCTCACTCTCATGGAATTTACCTTCTAGCAGGAAAGAGTCTCATGCCAGCATGGAGTTGAACTCAAGTATCCCGACTCCCAGCGCTGCGCCCTCACCATTGCCTCACTCTTGCTGCCTAAGATGTTGGCAGGGATTTGAGGCACCAGAAGCCCAACCTGGATCTGTTGTGCCTCTCTCACTTAAACTGAGCAAAGCCAAACAGCATCACTGCAGTCCCGCTTTGAGCTGAGTCTAAATCCCTGTGGCCAGAGATCAGCCAGAAGGGACACAGTCTTGAGCACCCTCTGTAGGAGAGACCACAGGGTCCGCTCCACCATTGGACAGAAAACCCTGCCCAGGATCACTCTGCCATCTTAGAGCCTTTTCCTAGCGTTGCATTCAGAACTTAATCTGGCAGCTCACAGGATACCTTTAGCGTGTTAATGTGTTTTCTTTGGCCTTCGTGCTGGTTCTGTCTTGTTTAATTCAGGTGCTTCATTTGAAAGTTAATAGCCCCATTTAAAAATAACAATATTTCCCAGGGAAATCCAGATTTCCAGCTCATCTTAAAAGAGCCAAAGGTCCACTACATCTGTGCTTGAATTTTCTCATGGAAGTTATGATCTGGTTCTTAGACAAAGCCCACGTTCTACAGGTTGCTGCAGCCCTCGCTGCCCTCTCCCCTACCTCACCCTGTTGGCGTTTCAGTTTGCCGGCTCTGCTGTAGGTGTTCTCTGCCACTGCCGACGGAGGTGTCATTTTAGCTGTTTCTGTGATCCCCTTTACCCAGATATCCACAGAAGGGGGGGACAGAGGCAAGCAGTGAGCTCCATTTCCTGAGCTCTCAAGAAGTAACCCCAGAATCCTTGGGTTGTATCATTTTCCTTAATTTTAACGTTGATGGCATCCAGCTGTCTATATCCAGATTGGGCCTGTCCTACTGGCAGCCTGCATTCTTTACACTTAACCCCAGACTTGAAGATGCTCTGTAAATTAGCACAGATTACTATAGCATGTTCTGGCCACTACACTGGAGAGGCCTGGTGGATAAAGAAGAATGGCAGACATATAGCGGACTGTGTTCCTGCTAAGTGCACATCGCTCTGCTGGGCCCTTTTCACACGGGATCCAACTTTATTCTTACAGTCACTCGATGTAAAACTACGTATTATTATCTCCATCTGTCGGGAGAAGAAAGGGGAGCTTTGGGAGCCCAAATGATTTTCCCAAAGTCACACAGCTGGTAAGTGCTGGAGTTTGAACCCAGTTCTCTGGCCCCAAAGCCCATGGAAGCAGGGTAGAGCTGAACAAGATTCCATGGGGGTGGTACGTTGTCAGAACTAGACCAGATATTGGTATCCCCACCCTTAGGTAGAGAATGAAGATGCTTCTTCACTTCCAAGTAGCTTATAATACATGTTTTGTGCAAAGTCATATCGTTAGAAAGGAATCCACTGTAAGTTGCTAGACTTGTGTCTGAATTACATCCACCCTAGTATTGTTGTTTCAGCCTGCTCAGTATTTATTCTCTATCTACTATTTCCAGGCCCTGTGCTAGGAACTGGCTACAACACAGAGGTTAAAATCATGAAGTTTTGAGGTCATACCTCCTAGGTTGAAGTTCTCATCCACCACGTCCTGTCTGTGTTTCACTGGACTGGTGACTTAAGCTCTCTGAGCCGGTTCCCTTATCTGTACAAAGGAAACATTAATGGACTTATACGCACGAGACTGTTGGAAGGATTAAATGAGATGTTGTATGTAAAGCATTTGGCATATCATAAATGCCCTGTGAAGATGATGATGGTGGTGGTGGTGGTAGTGATGATGTCATTGCCATGATAAACATTGGACTCAAATATTGCAGGTGGGAGAAATAAATAGATGGTGTATAGGCCAGAGTTGTGCCTCTGGGTGTATGAGTACATCTTGTCCAGTTGATGTGCATCAGCAGTTGACAGGTGGTACCCAAACGGCACAGCAGGATAAAGGGCAGGATAAAGACGCAGGCTGAGGAGTTGTTGCTTGCATCTCCCTCTAAAACCCTAAAACCCAAGGCTCTCTGGACAAAACAGCTCACAAGTTCCAACACTCATGCATGAGTCCTCAGCTGGGCTTCTCTCACTTAGATGAATTCAGGAGATGAATTTAGAATTAATTCAGTAGTAAAATGAGCCGTCGACGGTGACTTTCTCCTCTTTGTCAGTTGAGGCCTCACCTGCTGAGTGAACAAACCTAGCCACGCCCATCTGCCCTCACGTCTCCCACGGGCGCGGCCTGGGTGGGGCTTCGCTCTGGCTCTGCACTGATGGCGTGTTAGGAAGGACCCTTTTTTGGTGGGAAGTGACAGAAACTCAGCTCAAACTCGCTTAAAGGGTAAGGGAAGTTATTGGGTGATGCAACTAAAACATTAGTATCTGACTTAAGACATAGCTGAATCAAGCAGTTCAAATGATATCATCAAGCCCAGACTCTGTTAATTCTTTTTTTTTTTTTTTTCTGGCTGCTTAATTATTTCTTATTATTTCTGGAGAGGGTTAAAGTAAAATAAACACATCACATCAAATAGCCAAGTAGTTCACTGGCAAGAATCTTTTTTTTTAATTAATATATAACCGACATATTATGTTAGTTTCAAGTAAGTGATATAACAATTCAATATATGTATATATTGTAAAATGACCACCACAAGAAGTCTAGTTAATATCCATCACCACCCATAGTTACAATCTTTTTTCTCGTGATAAGAACTTTTAAGATCATAGCAAATTTCAAATATGTACAACACAGTATTATTAAGTGTAGTCACCGTGCCGTACATTACATCCCCAGAACTTACTTATTTTATAACTGAAAGTTTGTACCTTTTGACCACCCTCACCCATTAACTTCTGTTCTCTTTCCCTTTGTGTTGGTTTAATTTTCTGGCTCCAGACGGTGACCCTTCTCAACGTATTAGCCTCATTTTACTGATAAGGTAACTGAGACTCAGAGAGGTGAAGTAACTTGCTTAAGCTCACGCAACTAGGGCAGGGTTAGGGCTCAAACCTGAGTGAGTGTGTCCCCAGAGCCCAAGCTCAAATCCCTGCGTGATGCAGCCTGTCTGTGTTCTGGTCCTGCTTTCCTCCAGTATGCTGGGTGGCTTTGAGGCAGCCACTCTGCTTCTCTGGGCTTCATTTTCTCCCTTTGAAAAACAAAGTGGTTGAATGACATGATCTCCAAATGCCTTCCCATTCTGATGCTTCATGCTTCGGGACCAGACAGTGTGACAGAGGAAGAGAGTTTAAAAGACAGAGAGATGGAGAGGGACAAAAGCAAGCAGTGAGATACCAAATAGGCCACAGGGCGCCTTAGTTTTTAATTCCACGTGGCTCCTAATAGCAGTTTTGACCTTCCCGTCCCCAACTTCAGCCTTTAGCAGCCAATTTGGACTTCCAGCTCCCGCTGCTAAGAGATGGCATAAAGGCAAACTGGTACTTTAATAACTGCCAAATTGGTCCTGACTCTTCCTATAATTAAATCAAGGGGAGTGTTGTGTTCACTGTATTTCCTTGCTTTCCTCCAAAAATGAAGTAGCTAGATATATTGAAAGACATATAGCACAATTATCAGTTTCCCAGATAACCTGTGCAGGGCTAAAAGAAGTAAGTGCCCTGAATAAGCAGGTCTTGGCAAACATCCCCAGGAACTCCTGGGTTCTGCTCGGGGAGTATCGGAGAAGTTTCCCAAATCTCGGCAGCCTGATCAAAGCTCAGTGTGTAGGGACAGGCCCCTTACAGGGAGATGGAAAGGGAAAATCATTGCCCTCATTCCCAGCCGGAATAGAGTTTCCTCTGGGAATTTTCCGGCCTTGATTGGTCTAAGTTCTCCAAATAATTCAAGGTCACCAGGGCCCCAGTGCTTAGCCCTGGGGCAGAGTGTGGTGTGGTGGTAAGAGCGTGGGCAATGGAGTCCAGACACCTGTGCCAAAATGCCAGCTCTGCCGTATGACAGCCAGGGGACTTTGACAAATGGCTTTGGCTCTCCATGTCTTCATGTCCTCTTCTTTATAAGATCCGGACAGTGATGTGGGGATTGTGGAGGACTGAGTATCCTCGCTGACCACAGGAAGTGCCGAGCCAGGCGCTTTCGAGTGGTGTTATCCTCTTTTAAAGAGTACAGCTGAGGCTTGCAGAGTTGGTTTAACTTGCTCAGGGTTCCACACGGCTGGCATTGGAGTCTGGTTAGGTCTGACTTTTATCCCCCCATGATTAGTGACTGCATCTGAGAGGACCTGTTGTTTTCAGTTCTTGGAGTGTGTGGATGAAAGAGCAAAGCTCTGCTGATTTTAAGCAGAATCATTGTTAAAGGAGCAAGAGAGGAAAATCAGTCCTCCCCCTACTTTCTAGAGTCACCCTATCCCACAGTGTGTTCGCAATCCACCAGTGATATGTGAGATTATTTTGGGGTGTTCACAAAGGGGCATCATGGGAGAGTTAGTACTGATTTTATGTATATCAACGAAAATTTATATAATTAGCCATCTAATCGATGATTTCATGGACATGATGCTTAGAATAAGA